GGAGGTTAAAATAGTAATTTCGGCAGCACTTCGTTTCTATAATTAACTTTCTTCGATGAAAACCGGGAGCTTTATTGAAAACCGGGCCTTGCGAGGGTTGAGCTTCAAACCGAAAATATAAATTTCTCGGGGTCTTCGGACACTTCGGGACGTTTTTCGGGTGTTAGGTATAATCCCGGGGCTTCGGTGGATGTTGGTATAGCTTAAAAATGGATTTAGGGGTAAAAAGTGTGAAATTTCCAAACAAAACTGGGAGGGTTCGCACCTCCCCTTATATAAGGTGTGAGGCTTCTGATCTGGAGGAAAGGAGGGACACGCGTCTCGCATGCGAGGGGCCAGGCGTCGGATCTCGGGCTCGCCACCGAAGCAACACGCGTCAGCAGCTGTTTGGGCCGCGCTTCAGACTCGAGAAGAATGCAACGCACGTCGGACATGGGGCGTCTGCGAGGAGCGGGTGACGTGGCCGATTCTAGACCGTGTGTATGCGAAAGTTCTCGGATTTTGTGCCCCAAACTTCAAAAATTCATAACTTTCGCATAAGAGCTCCGTTTTCGATGTTCTTTATATGCACGCGTAGGTGAGATTATACTCTACAACTTTCGTTTAGACTCCGTCGGCTAATTTTGAATTTATTTTTAATATTATTATTTTTAACAGATCGGGACAGGAAAATCCGTTAAAAATTCATAACTTCTTCATCCGACGTTCGTTTTCGTCTGTCTTTTTACCGTTGTACTACTATTGATGAGACCTTCGATTATCCTTTTGTTTGTGTCGGCTAAAAATCACTCGATCTTTATTTCGAGTTTTTAGTTGTATACTGCTATATTGAATCTTTAGAAAAAAATCATAACTTCTTCATACGAAGTCGGATTTGGACGTTCTTTTTATGAAAGTTCTCGGTTTAACGAATACTACGAATTTCATTTAGATCACAAAGGCTAAAAAGTAGTTTATCAAAAACTCACTTTTTACGCTAAATAGTGTTTTGCCGGTTTTGTAGCGGATCTTCGATTCGTCATAACTTCTTCGTTATAACTCGGATTTCGATGAGGTTTTCGCCTTAACGTTTCTAACGAGATAATTTACAACTTTCAATAACATTATTTTTACTTATTTCCAACTTCAATTTTACATTTTCGTTAATTTCAATATTTGACTTTTGATTGGAATCTCATAAGACTTCCAATACATTTCGAGTGATATTATTCATTTTAAGCTAATAAGCTTTATAAAACACGATAATCGAACAAGGTTATTAACATGTATGTTACATTGGGACGTCCCAAGTGACTTGTATCTCAGATCTAGGACCTAGAAAGGGTTCCATGGCATAAAGGTGCAAACTTTATGACCATGGAAGCCCCATGCAAGCATATGAGTAAGTTTATGGTCTTTTTATCCCTAAAAGACCATGCATGGAAGGGAAGTTCGAAGCTTTATGTGTCCAACAGAGCCTAAGACCTTAGATCTGGGTTTGTATGAGTGGATTTGAGATTATATGGCCTTTTGGACAAGATTCATGTTTTATAGGAATTAGGGTTTTGTCTAAACCCTTTTAGAAGAGCTAAGAATGGGTAAAGTTGGAAACTTTACCCTTAGGAGGGCCTTTCCAGTGGACAGACGAGCTAAGAGCCTTGGATCTAGGAGATAGGGGCTTAATTTGTTAAGATGGCCAAACAGACAGAAGGACTCGTCGAGTCCATAAGGGAACTCAACGAGTCGTATCGTGTTATCCTGATTACAGTTAGTAGAACTTGACGAGTCTGTCGAAGGACTCGACGAGTGGATGAGCCAAGTCGCGACTAAGCAGCCCGATAGAACTCGACGAGTCGGTGGAACGACTCGGCGAGTTGAATCGTATTTTTACTATTTCTGAGTTATAGAACTCGACGAGTTGATAGGTTGACTCGGCGAGTTGGTCAACCCAGAATGTTGACTTTGACCAGAGCGTTGACCTTGACCAGGGGTAAAATGGTCATTTTACCCTATGAAGAGTTATCAGTTTTTGATTAAGTATTATTATGGAATTATAGCCGAAGAGTCGCCGGAGCAGCAGACAGGGATTCCTCACTCGAGTTCAGCATTCAGTTTAAGAGGTGAGTCTTCTCCTATAGGAACGGGTCTAAGGCACCAAGGCCGGTCCATTTATGTGTGATTATATGTGTCGAGGTTAGCGCGATGTAGGTTTTATGTTCCAGACTCCGGTCTGATGCCGGGTGGGGCCCGATGCAGTTAGAATGCTTGATGTCTTTGTGATTCTTGCATGTGTCTAATTATGTGTTCCGGACTTTGGTTCGATGTCGGGGCAAGCCCGAGGAATGTTAGCTTTCATGTTATGTTTATGTTTATGTTCATGATATACTTGTTGATATGATATGTATACCGGACTTTGGTCCGATGTCGGGCGGGGCCCAAGTTATGCCGGACTTCGGTCCGATGTCGGGCGGGGCCCGGTGCCCGACTTGACCGATGCTGGGCGGGGCCCGATGCAGTAGGCTAGGCCCAGTATGTGATTATGTGTATGGTCTGTGGTAGCTTGGGGAAACTCACTAAGCTTCGTGCTTACAGATTTCAGTTTTGGTTTCAGGTACTTCCACTAGCAAGGGGAAGGGCTCGGGATGATCGCATGGCACACACCACAGTTTCAGCCTGGGATTGTTTTAGACTCTGATGATTACTTATATGATATTGATACATTATTTGCATGATGTTTTTGAGATACATGGTTCTTGTTTTATTATGATGATGGATGTTTTATGGTTTAAATAATGGTTTTAAAACAAAAATTTTGGACCGTATTTTTGGGATGTTTTAGAATGGTCAAGAATCAATCTTCTTAACCTTGCTAGAATCCTCTGATGTTTTCATCTCTCATCTGGGCTTAAGGTCAATTTCTCAAAAAGTAAAGTTTTAGTGTTGGGGTTAATCAGAATGAAATCATATCATTTGCTCAATTTCTCCACTTCCAAGCATCTTCATTCCCATTCACCTATTTGGGCTTACCGGTGGGTGCCAACAGGTCACCCATTAAATATGGGGCTCCCATCACTGAAAAATTCCAACGGACTGTCGTCATGGAAAGCTAACACGTTATCATTTGGAGGAAGGATTACACTTCTTAATTCGGTGCTTGGGAGTCTACCGATATTTTATTTCTCAATGTTCAAAGCGCCTTTAAAGGTGATTGAGGACTTAGAAAGAATAAGGAAGAAGTTCTTATGGGGCGGAAGCAACTCGGGTTCTAAGATATGTTGGATAGCATGGGACAATGTATTAACTCCAAAAAAATTTGGAGGCCTAGGAGTACTAAGTTTGAGAGCTGCCAACCTCCCACTGCTTTCTAAATGGTTGTGGCGATTGAAAACAGAACCATCTGCCCTTTGGTCAAAGGTGATTGTCTCAATACATGGAATGGTGAGATCCTAGAAGATGTTTCCTGTCAGATTGGCGGTTTCTGGGGTTTGGAAGAATATTGTAAGTATTACAACTAATTTCCAGGTTCATAACATTGATTTGCAAGCCCTTTTTAAAAAAGAATTTGGGTGTGGGAAACTGACATCATTTTGGTATGAAAAATGGTTGGGTAATTATACTTTGAAAGAGAAATACCCATCTGTGTTTAAATTAGAATCCATAAAACAATGCACAGTTATGGATAGATGCACCAAATCAGATGGCGTACCTCTTTGCTTATGGAGTTAGAGTCGGCTGCCCAGATCTTTGATTGAACTGGATGAGCTAAACTGATGTACACCGGAGATTAATGTGACTGTCTTCCATAACTCGAATGACACTTGGAAATGGCTCGACAACTTGGACGGAAAGTTCTCTGTGAGCTCTCTCATAGGTTTGTGGGAATCTAATGTATGCACTCCGTTAGCATATAAACATTTTTGGAATAAATTGGTCCCAATTAAGATCAACTTCTTCGGATGGAGATCTGTGTTGAACCATTTACCCTCCAACATGGATCTGGAAAAGCGAGGTGTTAGAATGGACTCGATGTTGTGTGAATCTTGTGGGTTGGAGGTGGAATCTTCCATTCACATTCTACTTGATTGTCGATGGGTAAAGGAGATTTGGCTCTTAATACAAACATGGTGTGATGTGAATGTAACTCATCCCACATCAACTGAAAATCTTCTCTCTCAAGAAAAAACACAATTACTTTCAAAGGGCATCTCACCAAAAGGTCTTGCATGCTATCTTTCTAACTGCCCTATGGGGAATATGGAGAGGAATGAATGATTTGATCTTCAACAAACTACACTCATCTCCATTAAAGGTTTTTGAAGACATAAAAACATTGGCTTTCTTATGGATTAAAAATAAAGGGAATGGTTTTGTCTTGAACCGGGAATCGTGGTGTATTTTTTTCTTTGTCGCACATGTAGTTTGGTTTTATCTCGTTCTGTTTCTTGTTTCTCTGTTCCTCTAGCTTCTTGCTAGTGGTTTAATAAATATTTTGCTGTTAAAAAAAATGAGTTTCCTAAAAAAACATGTTTTTGTCACTTCTTTAAAGCTCCATTTTTTCCCTTGCCAAAAAGTGATTTCAAAAGGGTTTTTTCTAAACATCTTTTTAACTTATTGATATTTCCAAAAAGTTAAACTTATTGATTTTTCTAAAAAGTTAACTTAACATGTAAATTTAAAAAGCAATCTTAAACACCTAAGTAATTAGCAAACAAACAACTTTGTTGTCTTCATAAACGTTCTAAGTAAAACCTTTTCAGTGATTTGATTGCCTTTATAAAAATAACATATTTCACTTGGTATTTGACCTCCTACTCAGTAAGATATTGAACATATACGAATTAAATCCCGATACAAATATTTCACTCACCAAATTCGAAATCTATATTACGAAAACATTAAACGAATTCAGATTGACTCAGAAAAACACAAAACCTCTGATGTAACAATATTATTTTGGTTAACAAATGACACAGTTTGAATATAACAAAAAATAATAAATAAAAAACAGAAAACAAAATATACCCAAGAAGAGCTGGTTTTACAAAATTACGATTCTGCCCCAACGCTCTAATATAGTCGAGGCTTTTTGTTCTTTAATCTTTTTTCCCTTTTCAATTTTCAGTTTTTTTAATCAAACAAACCACAACAATGAACAAAAAATCAAAACGCATCCGAAAATAAATTTCCAAGAATCCGTCCGTCTCTGTCGTCTTCAATTGGTCTTTTTGTTTCCCGGTGGCTGTTTTCCGGCCTCCTCCGGCACGAACCGCGGCAAAGTTAACAATGTGTTGACACGTGCCACGCCTTCAAGGGCAGACCAGTCAATTCCACCTTCCGTCTCCATCGTCGACTGGTCCTCGTCTAGCGTTCCCGCCAGCTCATCATCTGCATCGGCTCCTTCTTCCGCCGCCAAAGAGATCGGCTCCTTTTTATCCACCAGATCAGCGGCGGAAGCCGTCGAGATATTATTGTTCGAATGCGGGGAAAGAAAAAGGCAAACGACTGCACAATCATCCACTTTAGAAGTCGGATACCTGTACTTCCATGCCCGCACCGCCGCCTCAACCACCGCCCTAGCCGCACATGAACGTGATTCAGCAGAAGCTACGATGTCCACAACGTCTTTGTTCGTAAGCACATCCCAGATCTGTCAATCGTTTTCAAATAAAAAACATGAAAAACTGATTGGAAATGGTGAGAAATTAAGGATTTGTAAATTGTACCCCGTCTGATGCTAAGACGACGAATTGATCGTTTTGTGTTAAACGGCGGTAGAAGATATCGGGAACGGAGATGAGGCCGAAATCCTTGAGGCAAAAATCGCCGAATGCACGCGCCATGGCTAAACCTGGTGAATCGTTATTGGGTAGCCAAACCCTAGTCACCTCCGGTTCATCTTGAAGAGCGAAAACACGACCTTTGCATCTACGGATTCGTTCTGCTTCAGCTGAAACAATCAATCAATCATTTTGATTTAAGCTCTCATCAAATTAGCAACTCCAAATGCATTTGATTCTGAATCAAAAACAGAGAAAAGAGAAAGGAACCTGGAAGATTTGGTTTCAAATCCACAGTCAACTGAACAGCAACTAGAGAATTACTTTTATTATCTCTTGTACACAATATCGCTCTCGAGTCTCCAACATTTCCAATTACAAGATCATGACCCTACAACAACAAACAAAAAAATCATTCACTATCAATTTCAAATCCAACAAAAAAACTATAAACTTTTTCATATCATACCTGTTTAATCAAAGTCACTGCAGTTGTCCCACTACAGAAGCAATCGATATTTGCATACATTCTGAGTTCCCTATCCATGACTTTAAACGCCTTCAAAAACGTGTCCTTCAAGGACTGTAATTTCTCAGGATTCTTATTGATTTCAAGATCCATGAGAAGCCTGGAATCATCATCACCAGTTAATGGAGTTTCTACTTCATGATTAAGGTTGACTTCTCGTAGGACATCATTACTTCCCTTTATATTCAGTTCCCAATGTGCACTCAGCTTTAAAGGAAGAGAGTCCCTCACTCTTTTTGCAACCATATGACCAAACGGCCCATGCCCATCAAAAACACCACAGAACACCGTGTCTGTTCTTGATCCAAAATTCTAAAAAATAAATAAATAAATAAACAATCAGAATCATATAATCAAAGAAGAATCATGGAAGAGAATGAGAGATAGATAGGGGCAAACCTCCCAAACAATCATGGCGTCCTGATTGGTACCCTTTTTGCCTTGTTGGGTGAAGAGTGATGCGGCCTGACTAGATCCGTTTAAGAACATTCTTCCGGGAATCCGGTGGAGGTGCTCCTCCCTCTGGGAATTGAAAGAAGAGCTCCGGGAGGTTTTTTTCTTAGCGTTTTTCCTCTTTCTGATACTGAAAGTCGGTGATGGAGAGCTTGGGTGAGGGCTCCTGCTTTCTCCGGATAAGCAGGACCCCATCCTTAGGGCCCTGATAATACTCAATATGCACTCCAGAACAGCCGTGCAACCAAACCCCCTATTTTCAGTTGATGGATCCGTTACAGATCCTTTTACAGACACGAAACCCTTCGTGTTTGCGTCGTTCCTCTGAATCAACAATTCATCTACAGATTCTCGTGCATTAAGATACGGATGATTCTTTGGATTTCGAAGATGATACTCATTTGATATCAACAACAAATCAGATGTATGATGAAGAAGGAAGATATATATCGAGAGAAAAAGGAGTGTACCGATTCAATCTACCAAGAGAGAAACAGATCCAACATGCAAACAAATCAAATCAAATCACCTTTTCTCTCCCAAAACCAAAACCATAAGAGATGCAGAAGGAAATGGAATCGATCAATTTAGGTATTCAATCAACAATTCACGGAATAATCTTTTCAAGTCGAGGATTTGTTGGAACTTTGGGTTTGGAGCAATTGGAACTGATTGAAAACAAGTCGAATTGAAATGAAAGCAGTGTGTACCTCAGATCAAAGGATTGAGAGAAGGTAATATAATGAAATAGATAGATATAAATTACTGGTATGCAGATACAACACAGGTATACATCTATAATTAATGAGATGAGTGGTCAAATGAGGAAAGTATGTATGTATGTGGATTGTGGATTACATACATATATATATATAATTTAATGTATAAAGAAAGAAAGAAGGAAGGAAAGAGGGCCGGGATATGATTGAATATATGAAGAAGTAAATGTTTGGAAAAGGATAAAATTTGAAGAAAGATCCAAAAATGGGGGTGGGGGTGAGATAGAATCGCAATCGCAGGGAGGGAGGGAAGGAGAGAATTAAGATCGGAAAAAACGCACTGTCATCAATGAGTGAGTGAGAGATGTAAAAATTAAAAAAGACGAGAATCCTTACCTTCTCGTGTGAATACGTAGACCGTGTCTCATGGCCGCTAGATGGACTGGATGATGGATCTATCATCTATCTACCCAAAATCCATGTATTTATCCTTTATGTAAAAACTATAGGGGGGCATTTCACATTTGTATTGAAAAAAAAAATCTGTTTAAATCTAAAAAAAATATTTCATAAAAAACCATTATATATATTTTTATCTTTTTATTCCACTATTTTAGCAAGTTTATCATTAATCTTCTAATTTTTTATATTTCTCGATAAAACTCTTAATTTTTATTTTTTATTTTAAGAAAACTCTTACATATGACATTTTTTCGGCCAATCTCATAACTTTTTTTGTATTTAAGGTGTTTTTGATAGTTTTCAATATTAAAATACGAAGAAAACATTTAATTTTTGTCAAAAAAAAGAAAGGATATCTGAAAATGCATATTAAATTTTATTTGAAGAATGTTCGATGATTATAACAGGTGAAAAACAATGGTTTAAGTTTGATTCATATTTTAGAATATTTTTAGGATCAAAACAGAATGACAACTTCCAAACATTGATTTATGTTTGAATATAATTTTAGCTTTCATGTTTTCTTTGTTAGAAATATTTTCAATCTCAAAAATAATTTAATCCATAATAATCTCATTAGATTCATTTGAGACTTTTTTTTCATTAATAGTAACATATATAACAAATTTTTTTTTTTTTGGAACGACGACATGTCTCAACGGAAACCTCATCGTATTATTTCAACGAAGACACCGAGATCGAATCATTCAATAGGGCAGAGACGACCCCATAGGAATTCCAGAGAGATTCTCCACATGAGGAAATATTTTTTAAAGAGTGCTTGCGAGAGTCGAACTCCCAACCTCCATGTAACGTCCCAAAAATAATGACATAAAATTTTCTCTTTTAGTTCAATAAATCGTTAATACATAACATCTCCATAAAACCGAGGTAATCAAGATTTAGCAAAACATCACTAAATCAGAATAATTCACAGAATGCGGAAACATGTTGTGTGTGCCCTACAACCATCCCGAGCTCTTCCATTTGAAAACTGAAGTACCTGAAACATAAACTGAAAACTGTAAGCACAGAGCTTAGTGAGTTCCCCAATATACCACACACCATACATGACTTATCACATAACGGGCCCCGCCCACTAAGATACCGGCCCCGCCCACACTTGCATAACGGGGCCCCTCCCACACTTGCATAACGGGCCCCGCCCACTGAGATGCGAGCCCTGCCCACACTCACATAACGGGCCCCGTCCACTGAGATACGGGCCCCGCCCACTAAACATATAACCATATAATCATATAACATTCAAACATATGCGGAAATCACAAAGATAATAGCATACTGCACAATCATTGGGCCCCGCCCACATACAAATCACATATGCATAAACCGATACTGTCACACCCCAAAACCGGAACGGCGGAAACGTTCGGGGATGGAGGACGTCATGTTTAGTATCACAAGACATGTATCATAGTAAGCAAGTAATGAACAACCATTTCATTAGAAAGAAAGTGTTTACAAAGTGTGTGTTCACAAAACTAAGAATACATATGCAAATAACAAAACAAGACTTGAAGCTATACTGCTCCATCTTCTGATTTCCCAGAGCGAGTAC